ACCACTTCCAGACCGGGTCCCACCATCCCAGACCTTCTCAAAGTTGGGTCCCACCACCCCAGACCTTCTCAAACCCAGGTCCCACCACCCCAAATTTGGTTCCCACCACCCCAGACCTTCTCAAACCCAGGTTCCACCACCCCAGACCTTCTCAAACCCAGGTCCCACCACCCCAGACCTTCTCAAACCTGGTTCCCACCACCCCAGACCTTCTCAAACCCAGGTCCCACCACTCCAAACCTTCTCAAACCTGGTTCCCACCACCCCAAATTTGGTTCCCATCATCCCAGACCTTCTCAAACCCAGGTTCCACCACCCCAGACCTTCTCAAAGTTGGTTCCCACCACCCCAGACCTTCTCAAAGTTGGGTCCCACCACCCCAGACCTTCTCAAAGTTGGTTCCCACCACCCCAAATTTGGTTCCCACCACCCCAAACCTTCTCAAATCTGGTTCCCACCACCCCACCAAGTTGTCCCCAACTTCTCCACCCCCTCGTGTCCACCCCAGGGTGCCCCCGAGGGCGTCATTGACCGCTGCAACTACGTCCGCGTGGGGACCACCAGGGTTCCTCTGACCCCAGCGGTCAAGGAGAAGATCCAGAGCGTCATCAAGGAGTGGGGGACGGGCAGGGACACCTTGCGCTGCCTGGCCTTGGCCACCAGGGACACTCCACCCAAGAAGGAGGACATGGTCCTGGAGGACTCCTCCAAGTTCTCCGAGTATGAGGTGGGTGGGTCACGAGGTGGTCCTGGGGTGGGGTTGGGTGGTGGGAGGTCATTTTTGGGTGGTGGGACCTCATTGGGGGTGGTGGGAGGTCATTGGAGGTGGTGGGACCTCATTTTGGGTGGTGGGACCTCGTTTTGAGGGTTTGGGATTTTTGAAAGGGGTTCCTGGTCCTCTGTGACCTCCAAACCTCCAAATTTTTGGGTTTCTGGTCCACCACCATCTCCAAACCCCATTTCATGGAGGTTCCAGATCTTCTGTGACCTCCAAACCCCATCTCATGGAGGTTCCTGGTTCTCCATGACCTCCAAACCCCATCTCATGGAGGTTCCTGGTCCACCACCATCTCCAAACCCCATTACATGGAGGTTCCTGGTCCTCCACGACCACCAAACCCCATCTCATGGAGGTTCCTGGTCCTCCACGACCACCAAACCCCATCTCATGGAGGTTCCTGGTCCTCCACGACCTCCAAACCCCATCTCATGGAGGTTCCTGGTTCTCCACGACCTCCAAACCCCATTTCATGGAGGTTCCTGGTCCTCCACCATCTCCAAACCCCATTTCATGGAGGTTCCTGGTCCTCTGTGACCTCCAAACCTCCAAATTTTTGGGTTTCTGGTCCACCACCATCTCCAAACCTCAATTCTTGGAGGTTCCTGGTCCACCACGACCTCCAAACCTCAATTCTTGGAGGTTCCAAATCTTCTGTGACCTCCAAATCCCATTTCATGGAGGTTCCTGGTCCACCACCATCTCCAAACCCCATTTCATGGAGGTTCCAGATCTTCTGTGACCTCCAAACCCCATCTCATGGAGGTTCCTGGTCCTCCGTGACCACCAAACCTCCAACCTTTCCCACCACCACCACCACCAGACCGACCTGACCTTCGTGGGCTGCGTGGGGATGTTGGACCCACCACGCAAGGAGGTCATGGGCTCCATCCGCCTGTGCCGCGACGCCGGCATCCGCGTCATCATGATCACGGGGGACAACAAGGGCACGGCCATCGCCATCTGCCGCCGCATCGGCATCTTCGGCGAGGACGAGGAGGTCTCCGGTCGCGCCTACACCGGCCGCGAGTTCGATGACCTCCCGTTGTCCGAGCAGCGAGAAGCTTGTCGCAGGGCCTGCTGCTTCGCCCGGGTGGAGCCCACCCACAAGTCCAAGATCGTGGAGTTCCTGCAGTCCTTCGATGAGATTACGGCCATGGTGAGGAGATGGAGGTGGTTTTGGAGGTCCACCATGAAGTTATGGGGGTTTGGGGGTTGGTGGAGGTGGTTTTGGAGGTCCACCATGAATTTGAGTGGGTTTGGGGGATGGTGGAGGTAGTTTTGGAGGTCCACCATGGGTTTATGGGGGTTTGGGGTTCAGAAGATCTTGGTTGATGTGGTTTTGGAAGTCCACCATAGGTTTGAGAGGGTTTGGGGGTTGGTGGACGTGGTTTTGGATGTCTACCATGGGTTTGAGTGGGTTTGGGGGTTGGTGGAGGTGGTTTTGGAGGTCCACCATGGGTTTGAGTGGGTTTGGGGGTTGGTGGAGGTGGTTTTGGAGGTCCACCATGGTTTTGAGTAGGTTTGAGGGTCAAAAGATCTTGGTGGACCTGGTTTTGGAGTTCCACCACCAAGTTAACTCCATTTCTGATTCTTCCAAACGTGGTTTTTGAGTTTCCACCACCTCCTAACGTAGTTACGGAGCCCCACCACCAATTCCACATCAATTTGAGGTTCCACCACCAACTTTTAACGTAGTTATGGAGTCCCACCACCAAATAAACTCCATTTCTGACCCTTCCAAACGTGATTTTTGAGTTTCCACCAACTTTTAACGTAGTTATGGAGTCCCACCACCAAATAAACCCCATTTCTGACCCTTCCAACGCAACTTTTGAAGTCCCACCACCAACCCCGAGAACTTCTCGATGTCCCCTCAGACCGGCGACGGCGTCAACGACGCTCCGGCCCTGAAGAAGGCGGAGATCGGCATCGCCATGGGCTCGGGAACCGCGGTGGCCAAGACGGCCTCGGAGATGGTCCTGGCCGATGACAACTTCTCCACCATCGTGGCGGCGGTGGAGGAGGGCAGGGCCATCTACAACAACATGAAGCAGTTCATCCGTTACCTCATCTCCTCCAACGTGGGCGAGGTGGTCTGGTGAGCGCCCAGTTTGGACCAGTTTAAACCAGTTTGGACCGGTCTGGCCCGGTTTGGACCAGTTTGGACCAGTTTGGTGGAGTGTCCTCGATGGATTTTTTTTCTTCTTCTTCTTCTTCTTGTTGGAGCTGCTGAGTTGGGGCTCTGTTCTGGCCCGGTTTAAACCAGTTTAAACCAGTTTGTCCCAGTTCCCATCCCGGTTCCATCCCAGTTTATCCCAGTCCATTCCAGTCCATCCCAGTCCATCCCAGTTTGTCCCAGTTTATCCCAGTCCATCCCAGTTCCCATCCCAGTCCATCCCAGTCCATTCCCAGTTTGTCCCAGTTCCCTCCCAGTCCAAACCAGTCCAAACCGGTTTATCCCAGTTCCATCCCAGTCCCCCTTTAACCTCTCCCAGTCCCTCCCAGTTTGTCCCAGTTTGTCCCAGTCCATCCCAGTTCCATCCCAGTCCCTCCCAGTCCCCCTTTAACCCCTCCCAGTTTGTCCCAGTTTGTCCCAGTTCCATCCCAGTCCAAACCAGTCCAAACCAGTTTGTCCCAGTTCCATCCCAGTCCCCCTTTAACCCCTCCCAGTCCCTCCCAGTTTGTCCCAGTCCCTCCCAGTCCATCCCAGTCCATCCCAGTTTGTCCCAGTCCATCCCAGTTCCCATTTAACCCTTCCCAGTCCATCCCAGTTCCACTTTTACCCCCAAAATCTCCATTTTTAACCCCAAAATCTCCATTTTTAACCCTAAAACCACCAGATTTTTTCCCGCCAACCCCTCCCAGTCCATCCCAGTTTGTCCCAGTCCCTCCCAGTCCATCCCAGTTCCCTCCCAGTTCCACTTCCACCCCCAAAATCTCCATTTTTCACCCCAAAACCACCGGGTTTTTTACCCCCAGTCCATCCCAGTCCCTCCCAGTCCATCCCAGTTCAATCCCAGTCCATCCCAGTTTGTCCCAGTCCCTCCCAGTTCCACTTTTAACCCTTTAATCCCCATTTTGGACCCCAAAATCTCCATTTTGGACCCCAAAATCTCCATTTTTAACCCCAAAACCACCGGGTTTTTTACCCCCAGTCCCTCCCAGTCCATCCCAGTCCATCCCAGTCCATCCCAGTCCATCCCAGTTTACCCAGGACGTTGACCCTGGCGATGGCCTCGGGGCTGCAGTTCCCCCAAACGTCCACCAGGGAGGCGCTGTGGAAAACCACGCGGGCACCCCCGAAAACGGCGCCGAGAGCCCCAAAATCGGCGACATCTCCGTGGAAAAAACGGACTCGAGAGCCTGGGAGGGAAAATTTGGGGGAAATTGGGGGAATTTTGGGAAAATTTAAAAAAAAAATGGGGAAAAACGGTGAAAAAATGGGGAAAAACGGTGAAAAAATGGGGAAAAACGGCCAAAAAATGGGGAAATTTGACCCAAAAATGGGGAAATTTGACCCAAAAATGGGGAAATTTGGCCCAAAAATGACCCTGAGAGCCCCAAAATCGGTGACATCTCCGTGGAGAAAACGGACTCGAGAGCCTGGGAGGGAAAATTTGGGGGAAATTGGGGGAATTTTGGGAAAATTAAAAAAAAAAATGGGGAAAAACGGTGAAAAAATGGGGAAAAACGGCCCAAAAATGGGGAAATTTGACCCAAAAATGGGGAAATTTGACCCAAAAATGGGGAAAAACGGCCCAAAAATGACCCTGAGAGCCCCAAAATTGGGGATTTCAATGTGGAAAAATTGGATTTGAGAGCCTGGGAGGGAAAATTTGGGGGAAATTGGGGAAATTTTGGGAAAATTTAAAAAAAAATGGGGAAAAAAGGTGAAAAAATGACCCAAAAATGGGGAAATTTGACCCAAAAATGGGGAAATTTGACCCAAAAATGACCCTGAGAGCCCCAAAATTGGGGAATTCAATGTGGAAAAATTGGATTTGAGAGGCTGGGAGGGAAAATTTGGGGGAAATTTGGGAAATTTTGGGAAAATTTAAAAAAAAATGGGGAAAAAAGGTGAAAAAACGGCCCAAAAATGGGGAAATTTGGCCCAAAAATGGGGAAATTTGACCCAAAAATGACCCTGAGAGCCCCAAAATTGGGGAATGTGGAAAAATTGGATTTGAGAGGCTGGAAGGGAAAATTTGGGGGAAATTGGGGAAATTTTGGGAAAATTTAAAAAAAAATGGGGAAAAACGGTGAAAAAATGGGGAAAAACAGCCCAAAAATGGGGAAAAAAGGGGAATTTTAAACTCAAATTTCAGCATTTAAAGGGTGAAAATTCAAGATAATTTCACGAATTTTTTTTTAAATTTCAGGATTTTTTTTCTGAAATTTTGGGGATTTTTGGGAATTTTTTGGGAATTTTTTGGCGGGAATTTGGGAATTTTTTGGAATTTTTTTTGGGAATTTTTGTGCCTTTTTAAATTCAAATTTCAGCACTTAAAGAGGAAAATTGGGGGGAATTTCTGGGAATTTTTTCTGGAATTTTGGGGATTTTTTGGGAATTTTTTTGGAATTTTCTGGGAATTTTCTGGGAATTTTTTGGGAATTTTTCAGGAATTTTTGGGGAATTTTTTGGGAATTTTTTTGGAATTTTCTGGGAATTTTTTGGGAATTTTTGGGGATTTTTTTGGGAATTTTCTGGGAATTTTGGGGGATTTTTTTGGGAATTTTTTGGGAATTTTTTTGGAATTTTCTGGGAATTTTTGGGGAATTTTTTGGGAATTTTTTGGGAATTTTTTGGGATTTTTTTGGGAATTTTCTGGGGATTTTTGGGAATTTTTCAGGAATTTTCTGGGAATTTTCTGGGAATTTTTTGGGAATTTTCTGGGAATTTTCTGGGAATTTTTTGAGAATTTTCTGGGAATTTTCTGGGAATTTTCTGGGAATTTTTTTGGAATTTTTTTGGGTTTTCTGGGAATTTTTTGGGAATTTTTTGGGAATTTTTTGGTGGGAATTTGGGAATTTTTGGGGAATTTTTTTGGAATTTTTTTGGAATTTTCTGGCGGGAATTTGGGAATTTTTTGGGAATTTTTCAGGAATTTTTTTGGAATTTTTTTGGTTTTCTGGGAATTTTTTGGGAATTTTTTTGGAATTTTTTGGGAATTTTTCAGGAATTTTCTGGGAATTTTTTGGGAATTTTTCAGGAATTTTTTGGAAATTTTTTTTTAATTTTCTGGGAATCTTTGGGGAATTTTTTTGGAATTTTCTGGGAATTTTCTGGGAATTTTTTGAGAATTTTTTTTTAAATTTTCTGGGAATTTTCTGGGAATTTTTTGGGAATTTTCTGGGAATTTTCTGGGAATTTTCTGGGAATTTTTTGGGAATTTTTTGGGAATTTTTTGGTGGGAATTTGGGAATTTTTTGGGAATTTTTCAGGAATTTTTTGGGAATTTTTTGGGAATTTTTTTTTAATTTTCTGGGAATTTTTGGGGAATTTTTTTGGAATTTTCTGGCGGGAATTTGGGAATTTTTTGGGAATTTTCTGGGGATTTTTTTGGAATTTTCTGGGAATTTTTTGGGAATTTTTTGGGAATTTTTTGGGAATTTTTCAGGAATTTTTTGGGAATTTTTTGGGAATTTTTTGGGAATTCTTTGGCGGGAATTTGGGAATTTTTTGGGAATTTTCTGGGAACTCACGGTGCCGTTCCGGAACGATCTCGGGATCGGGGTTGACGTCGAGGATTCGAAGCTCCCGAAGCTCCGGCTCCGCCTCCAACAACACCTGGACCAGGTGAGATCCCAGGAACCCGGATCCGCCCGTCACCACCATCACCAGCCCCTGGAAAAGGCAAAATTCCGCGGGAATTCCGGGAATTTTGGGAATTTCGGGAAAAATTCCCGAAAAAATCCGGCCGGGAACGGCCAAAATCGGCCAAATTTGACCCAAAATCTTCAATTTTTGACCCAAAATCTTCAAATTTTGACCCAAAATCTTCAAATTTTGCCTCGAAATCATCAAAATCCACCTGGGAATTTCGGGAATTCCGGGAATTTCGGGGAAAATTCCCGAAAAAATCCGGTCGGGAACGGCCAAAATCGGCGAAATTCGCGTCAAAATCGGCCAAATTTGACCCAAAATCTTCAATTTTTGACCCAAAATCTTCAAATTTGGCCTCAAAATCATCAAAATCCAACTGGGAATTCAATTCGGAATTGAATTGGACAATTCCCAAAAATTCCCTTTGGGACCCCAAATTCAACTCCAGGATCCCAAAAAATCCCGAAATTCCAGGCTGGATCCCTAAAAAATCCCCCAAAATTCCCTAAAATTCCCTAAAATACCCAAAATTCCCAAAAAATCCCCCAAAAATCCCCAAAAGTGACTCCAAAACTCCCAAAAATTCCACAAAATTGCCAAAATATCCCAAAAAAGCCCCAAAATTCCCAAAAATCCTCCAAAATCCCCCCAAAAATCCACAAAATCCACAAAAAATCCCAAAATCCCCAAAATTTCCCCCAAATCCCCAAAAATTAAAAAAAAATCCCCAAAAATCCCCCAAATTCCCAAAAAAATCAAAAAAATCCCCCAAAATCCCTAAAATCCTCCCAAAAATCCCCAAAATTCCCAAAAATCCCCAAAATTCCCAAAAAATCCCCCAAAAAACCCCAAAAATCCCAAAAAAATTCCCAAATCCTCCAAAATCCCCCAAATTCCCAAAAAATCCCCCCAAATTCCCAAAAAATCCCCAAAAATCCCGAAAAATCCCCAAAAATCCCGAAAATTCCCCAAAATCCCCAAAACTCCCCAAAAAATCCCCAAAATTCCCAAAAAATCCCCAAAATTCCCAAAAATTCCCCAAAGATCCCCAAAATTCCAAAAAAATCCCCAAAATTCCCAAAAAATCCCCAAAAATCCCGAAAATTCCCCCCAAAAATCCAAAAATTCCCCCCAAAATTCCCAAAACTCCCCCAAAAATCCCCCCAAAAACCCCC